TGGTTCCAAAAACTTCAGGAAACTGCAGGGATTTTTAAGTAAATTTGAGAAATTCAGGGATATCCAGCCAACTTTAGACAAGTCAAAATAATTTCAGAGCTGTGGAGAGTTAACTTGAGGAAAATTGACATTTTAAAGAAATTCCAAGTACCTCAAAGAAGTTAGACTAGATGGCTTTATGGAATTTCAGAAATGTTAACGGCACTTCCAATAACTTCATAGCTTCGTGAAATCCAAGAAATTCCAGACTTTCAGGGAAGTTCGAATATTTGCATGGGTAAGGTCCGATAAATTCCGGTCAACTCCATAAACTTCATAAAAACTTCGAGAATTTATTTTGAAAGTTCTATTTAGTTCAGTACCAGTAGTACCAAGAACTTCAATAGAAATGAGAGTACTTCAGGAATGCTTCGAGAGCAGAAGGACTGATCAGAGAAACTAAGAAGAGTTCAACTAATATCAAGGAAACTGAAGAATGTTTAAGAAGTTCCAAGAAACTCAGGGAACTTCCGAAACTTCATCAAAGTACCAAGACCTTTATTTAAATTTCAGAAACATAGCATCAGGAAAATGTGAGATCATTTTAAGGGAGTTCCATGGTTTTCAATGCAGTTTAAAGAACTGCAAAAAAATGCAGGAACTTCGGCGACGGTCAGATTATGTTCAAGAAAATCGCAGGATCTTTTAAAATGTTCAGAAATCTTCAAGAACGTCTAGAGACCTTCAGAAAAGTATATAGATTTTTTGGTAGTTTCATTATATTTTGGATAGTTCTTGGAACTTCGTAGATGATGAGAGATCTTCATATCAGTTTCATTTATTTAAGGAAAATCGCAGGATATTTCCATGAATACAAAGGAATAATGGGATATTTCAAGAATTTCATGAATTTTGCGATGCTTCAGAAACAATGCGAGGACTTCAGGAAATTTTATAAATAAATTTAAAATTTCCGGAACAATAGAAAAATTAATGAACTTCAGAAAAGATACAAAACCTCACGGAAGTCCAAATAAAACAAGGATTTTTACGCGAATTGTTGATGTCAAAATCTTCCAAAGAACCACACCGCTACCTGATTGCATATGCTAGTCCTAGATCCTAATTCATACATGTATCTTCAGAATAAGTGAATCGTGAAGCTCTTGAATCTTTTTTTTTTAATTGATCACTTTTACGCATGGTCCGGACCTCCCGAAAGGCCGAATTGTGGCCAGCAGAGATTGCATGCTGGTCCCAGATCCAAATTCATTAATGTAGCATCAAAATAAGTGATTTAATGCTCCAGACGCCAGGACGGCAGTTCCCACACCTGGACCCTACATATAGACCCATCAATTAATGAACTAGTCAAACTTCATGAAATAAATATGATTGAATCAACAAGAAACCTCTTTTAAAAACAAGCATATTTTTGTTGTTGACCCAGCTGCTTAATTTGACAGCTTACGTCAAAACCATGAAAGCTCTTGTAAATTCGAAAAGATTTTCTTTATGATTTAACAATCCATGGGTTTTGAGGAACAAAAATACTGGATTCCCTAATAAAATATTACCATAAGCGAACGATAACCAAAACAATAGAACTATTCCACAAATGCAGGGCTGTTACAACAGGCGCGGATTTCGCGAATTTCGCGGATTTGTCGCGGATTTGAACTTGCAGTCGCGAAAATCGCGGAAACATTAAATGATGTCGCGAAAATCGCGAAGGGACTGATGTGCTGTCACAAAAATTGTGGAATTGCTTGTATCCGTCCCGGACAATTTGGCTGTCATTAATTTTGTTGTTCATTTGGCTCTCAATTTTTTACCGGTTCAAACCATTTTCACGGAAATTCCCTGAGGTCTGTCCAATGTGAGACATTTTCCTTTTTTTACAACATGAACATAGCATTTTTCGTTGTCAAATCATAAACGAATCGTATATATGCTAGTAATTGTCATGTATACCGGATATTCTAAGGTTCTACAAATCGACCTGGAGTTCAGTTGATTTGTTCTACTATATCAACCAAGGCTGCAATAATGTCTGTAGTATCGAAATATGTCCAAACAGATTCAAAGTGTCTATGTGGATTGTACCCGACCTATTGCTAGGTATACATAATGTTATAGGTTCGGAAATCAATCTGGAGATCAGATTATTTTTCTTCTAGACTAATTCAATATCTGTAGTAGCGAAATATGCCCAAACAAATTTGCAGTGTCTATGTGGATCATGGCAACCTATTTCCGTGTATGCGAAATGTTCTAAGATTTCCAAATCGATATTTCGATACTTTGTTGATCTAGTAAAACAAATCATCTGACCTGCAGGACGATTTGGAGAACCTAGATCATCTGGTATACGTGGAAATAATTATACATTATCCATATAGACACTATGAATCTGTTTGGACATATTTTGATACTACAGACTTTATCCCAGTCATGGTTGATCTAGTAGAATAAATCATCTGAACTCCAGAACGATTTCTTCTTCTTCTTCTTCTTCTTCTTCTTCTTCTTCTTCTTCTCATTCACATTTCAAGCTGATTGATTATTGCATCATTATTGCGTGCTCTCAACTTAGTGTTCTACTAAATGTACTTCCACAGTTATTAATTGAGAGCTTTCGATGCCAACACCAATGCATGAATTCGTATATTGTGTGGCAAAGCACAATGATACTCTACGCCCAGGGAAGTCGAGAAAAGATTCCCTCGACCGAACCGGGAATCGAACCTGCCGCCTCCGGCTTGGTAATACCGTGCCTTTACTGACTAGGCTATGAGGCCCAGAACGATTTGGAGAACTTAAAACATCTGGTATACATTACAATATTTCATGCATGATCCACATAGACACAGTGCATCTGTATGGAAATATTTCGATACTAAAGACATTGTCCCAATTCCCAATATCGGTTGATCGGTTGGACGATTTGAAGAACCTTGAACATCTGGATTACTCGGAAACAGATCATGCATGATCCACATAGACACATTGAATCTGATTGGATATCGATACTACAGACATTATTGCAGTCTTGTTTGATCTAGTAGAACAAATCAACTGATGTTCTGGAGGATTTGGAAACCCTATAATTTCCGGTATACATAGTAATAAGTTGTGCATGATCCACAAAGTTACATATATTCGATTCGGTTATGATTTGACAACGAAAAGTGCTAGGTTCATATTAGAAATAAAAAAATATCATGAAAATATCTCACCATTGGACAGACCCCAAGAATATCCGTGTAAATAAACAATCACGACGTGACCAACAAGCGTGACTTATGAAACTCTGGTAATCATTCGATTATGTGCAGGGTGTTTGATTTGAATCGGTAAAATTTGAAAAAACTAGAGACAAGTTAACTACCTACAACATTTAGGACAGCAAAATACGTCAGAGACGCAAAGGTTAATTTTCGAGAAAATTTGCATTTCAAATGAAAATGCATTATTATTTTTTAAATAATGTTTCATCAAATCTAGGCCGGTATTATTAAATAGAATTTCATAATGTAAGGGTGTTTTATTATGTTCACTGATTAAGTTAAGTTATGTTTTCTTAATTATGGAGGCTTTTAGCCTGAGGCTGGTTCGCTTCCGTGTTCACTAATTACTCAGAATTTATACTATAACTGAAGATGATACAATGTTATTATAAACATTCAAAGGTTACAAACGATTCAGTCGGTAAAGGCACAGCTACAAAGCAAGTCCATGCTGGAGGCGACTGAGTTCGATTCCCGTCCGGTCTATTAATTTTTCTGGTTGGAAAATTTCTCTACTTCCTTGGGCATAGGATGGTACAGGCATAGAAATCTCTCAATTAAAATGTGAAAGTACTTCAAAGAACATTAAGTTGAGAGCAGGTAAAAATCTAATATGCTATAAGCAATAAGCTTAAAATGCCATGTAGTAGTATAAAATGCTATTTTAGGCAATGAAAACAGTTTTTTTTTGTCACGGATTAGTATTTGAAGTCGCGGATTTCTTTTGAGAACTCGCGGATTTTGCGGATCAAATTTAGAAAATCTTGTAACAGCCCTGTAAATGGTTTGGATGATACCCCGAACACGTCGTTAAGCAAAATAACCATAACAATTTTATTAGGATTATTGAAACAATAATGATTTCTGTTTGCAGCCAAAACAAAACGAAATTCTTATTGATTTTACGTCAAATATTATTACGTTTAAAATATTATTTTCTGCGTGTGTAGAAGGTCCCGAAGAAACGTGCTCAACTTTTTGGCTCAGCTCTGGTGCTCTCTTCGATCCCAAGCTAATCGGTGCACCCATCGAAACATAGTAAAAACTACGAACCTCTCATTTTATCTGTCAAACTTTCATAGCGAATCAAAACAAACATTGTGAAGTACTGGAATTTATACTAGAATGGGACACGTTAATCGATTTGCTTGGAACCAATAGGCTAGTTAAGTAGTGAGCCAATTTAAAATCGTTCGTTTCCACTCCACAATGGAGGCCACACGCCCAATGTAAATTTACCCGGTTGAGACTCTCCTTAGATTTCTCCAACCGGACCGGGAATCGAACCCGCCGCCAATAATACCATACCTTTACTGACTAGGCTATCAGAGGCCCCTGGTTCAGTTTCAGAATCACATTTTTGTTATAAATGCAACTCAAAATAATTGAAAATTTAAGGTAATTGTGATTTATTAAATTAATTGGATTAATTAGCGAAAGTGAATCACCTTGTAACGAAATTTAAACCACGTTTTGTTGGATTCATAATTGAATCCATTCGAATGGGTATTCCCTCCCAAGCAAGGCAGGTGATATTTAAAATTGAAATCGGGTGGTCATCCATAACGTTTAAATTTCTGAACATTAATTTCGATTTATTCAATTCGCGCTGAATGCAACAAAAATATATCTATGAAGACTCACTCTTGGCTTTTGTGCGATTTCAAAATGTATTTAAAAAATACCATTCGCTTTGATTCTCTTACCTCTCACCATCCATCCATTTCCTGATAGTCACGGTTTTACTCACTATTCACACAGTAATTTAATTGTACGGAAAGTTACAGCATCCAGGTTGTCGTCGCGTACGCACTTTTTCTAGCTAGTTTTGGTTCGACTGCGTCGGCTGTTGGTTTATCATCGCCAACCACCGGTGTCCAGACTCCGGGTCAGACCGCAGTCGACCGTCGAGTCGCACTCGTTCGGCGTCGGATCCGAGTAGAACGATGGCCGCGACAGCATCAGCGACCGTTCGTCTGCCAACACTGCAAACTCGCTGCAGCTCGGCTGGAAACCCTTCCGGGTGATGCCGCTGCTCATCGCCACCGTTCGGATTGGCTGTTTTGGGGGAAGGAAAAATCGAGAGGTTTGAATTGAACAGTTGGAATATTTTCCCCTATATGAAAGTACCCAAGTGAAATATACAGAGCATGCAAAAACCTTCAGGTTCATGGAATTTTTCCACACTTGAAAAAGGATGTTCCCAATACGCAACACCTAGCAACAGCTCCCCATCTTACCTCGCTGACGATCCGTCCGCCAACAACCGAAGAATAGTATCCGAATCTCGTCGTTGCCACGGTTGTGCCTCCAACGCCACCTTATCGGAAGGACAGACATGAAAAAAAGGAAAACGGGAAAATCACAGTCAGATCACATGTTGCATCGAGAGCAGCTTGTGTAGGCATATGTCTGCAATTGTATCAGTTCATTGAAGGAAAAATCCATCCGATTCGTTACTCAGACAGCAGGAATGTTCTAGTGAAATCTAGCACAAAGAGATTTTCATCACGAAAAAATAAACGTTTTATTGAATACGGTTCCAATCATATGATCGATACACAAACTAATACCTCTCCAACGGTGCAGCCATGGTGAATTAAGAGCTATTGAGAGGTAACTCTCTTATTTTTCATATGTGTGTCCGACCATCTTAAATCCATGCGGCCCCTTTTTAAGGAGCATCCATAATTTTAATTTTGGAATTTACACACAGTTTAGTTCCCTCTAACTAAAACTAGGGTACGGGTAAAACTTGTCTGCAACCAGCTCACCATAAAGCTACTACTAAAAATGTTACTCCAAACGTTACGATGTTTTAATTGAAACGTTTCGGTCTTTTGACTTAACCTTTCCCAGGGGACATAAAATTGTGCTGTCTTTCGTTCAGCATAAAAAGTTATACGATCTTAATCTAAAACAAACCCGCGTGAAGATCTCATATCTAATCCCTTGGATCGAAACATTGAAGACTGAAAAACGTAAACAAAATTACGAATTCTTCTAGATTTTTTAAATTTCCCGTAAGTCTAGACTATTCTGAAGTTTTCAGTACCGTAAAACGGGGTGTACACTGATAATTTTTTTAAAGTGTATTCTAAATATTTTTTGCAGCAATGAATAATTTTTAAATATTATATTTTTAAAACAAGTACTGAGGATCCAGGAGTTAATTCGTTAGTTATTTGTTTAACGGAAATTAAAGCATTTGCACTATTTTTTAAGTTGTGTGACCGAACCAGGGCGTCACAATATCAGCTTCAATCGACCAAATCGATGCGACGAAGAGACTGCTGGCTTTCTTTTTCTGTTAAAGTCGAACAGCTTCGCAGCATTCTAGAACCTCAAACAAATTTTCAATCGCTTGTCTCTCTTTCTCCCGTCGCTCCATTGGTCTTCCTTTCAAGCTTCGGTGAAACTGATGAGCGAAAGAGCGCTCGACTTTGATAGTTTTCTCTTTCATGAAACACATCAACAGAGGTTTCATGACGTATATGACGGAAAATGAAATAACACATTTAAAACATGTGAAGATTACACGTAATGTTTTTAATTTATCTTCCATCCATATATTTATCTAAAAAAATGATCAAAAACGGGACATAACGCATTTTAAACAAATTGAAAGAGCGGTGATAGAATGTTCGTGAAAGGGGATTGAAAGCCATAATGAGGTTCGTTTAACTAGAAAATCGACGTTCCTTACATTGAAAGCGATGAACAAAGCAACGACGAGAAGTTCCACAGCCAGCCTTTCCTTCTATGCGTCCTGCTTTTTTATTTTCGTTTTTTGCTGATATGTATGAGAGAAAAAAACACGAGTTCATTTTAGAGTTTCGAAAATGTAGAGCCCTGGACCGAACATCAGTATTTTGATTTGGGGTTACTTTGATAATGCTCGATGAATATAGAAAAAAATCGTGAAACTCAAACTTTTCAGTTCTTTAAATATGGAACTTTGAATGAGTATATAATCAGAAAACAGCATAAGCAATCAAAATACTACATTGAATTTGTGATGGCTATATCGGAAATAGTCACACAAGTCGTATTAAAAGTTTAAAAATGCACAAAATTTAGAAAAATACGTTGTTATTTGCAGAGAATTTGAGGCAGAAATATCGTCAGCATATGCGAATTACAATTCAAGAGGGTAGAGAACAATATAAAATCTGATCCCAAAACGTTCTTTAACTTCGCGAACGAAAAAATGAAGTCATGTACATTCCCATCACGCATGCAGTTTGTGAGAGTTTGATAGCACTGATAGTGAGGATATTTGTAACCAATTTGCTCGCTTTTTCCAAAACCTATATAAGAAATCCAGTAATGCTCTCGATTTGAACTATTTTTCTTACCTACAGGAAGGGGAAAATGACGTATCAGTTAATATTAACACTGTTCAAGAAATTTTTATGACTATTGAAAGTCTCGATGCCGGAAAAGGACCTGGTCCTGATGAACTACCTTCATTTTTATTGAAAAAAATAGCAATGAGTTTTGTTAAACCATTGTTTTGGCTTTACAATTTATCTCTCAAAACAGGTGATTTTCCAAAAAATTGGAAGAAATCATTTTTAGTCCCAATATTTAAATCTGGCAAACGGTCAGACATTAAAAACTATAGAGGTATTGCAATTATGTCATGCATTCCTAAAATGTTTGAAGCAATTGTTAACCAAAAAATATTTAACCAGGTTAAGCATCGCATTTCAAATAATCAACATGGTTCTTTTAAAGGTTGGTCAACGTTTACTAATCTTTTGGAATTTTTCTATTGAAGCAATGGATAGAGGTAATACGGTTGAAACCTTATACACTGATTTTAGTAAGGTCTTAAACAGAGTAGACATTCCCTTACTTCTTTTTAAATTAAAACGTTTAGGTATGACATGTACACTTTTAAAATGGATTGGATCATACTTGACAGAAAGAACACAGATGGTCCGCTTTAAAGGAAAAATATCTTCGCCAGTTAATGTTACCTCGGGTCCTTTATTATTTATTTTATTTGTGAATGACGTGAAGTTTGTGTTAAATCGTTTAAATGTGCTCATATATGCTGATGCATATGGAAATGGAAATCTTTGACAGTTCTGATTTGATACATTTTCAAAATGAAATTGATGTTTTCTACAATTGGTGCGTTAAAAGTCTGCTGGACATTAATGTTAAAAAATGCAATATTATTTATTTTTTCCAGAAAACACACTACTCTAGATTTTACCTGTACTCTGGGAAACCAGCTGTTTGTAAGATGCGATAAAATTAGGTACTTAGGAGTAATTCTTGACTCGAAGTTGACATTTGTAGATCATGTGAATACCACAATTCACAAAGCAAATAATATGTTGGGATCCATAAAAAGGTTCAGTTACCATTTTAAAGACCCATTTATCATCAAAACACTTTATATAGCTTACGTGAGCTCCATACCATGAAACTTATATAAATCGTATAGAATCAGTTCAAAAACAGTTTTTGTTATTTGCTCTTAGGAAACTAGGCTGGACCTCTTTTCCCCTTCCTTCTTATGAGTCCCGTTGCATGTTGATAAACATTGAAACACTTAAGAAACGAAGAGAAATTTCCATGATTTCCTTTGTTAATGATATTATCTCACAACGTAAAAATTCAGAAAAAATATTAGCAAGCTTAAATTTTTACGTACCATCATGCATGTTAAGAACTCAATGAATTTTAACTGTCACCTCACAGAATGAATTATGGTAAAAATGGACCAATCAACAGAATGATGAGAGTTTATAATAATTATTGTGAGCGTATAGATCTAACTATGTCTAAAGATTCAGTAAGGAGAACACTAACTGCTAGACTTTCATCTCGTTAAGTTTAAACAATTTTTTTTAAATTATAGTCACTTTAACGCTCTTGGGTCATTCGTGACTTGTCCGGGGGTGAGATTTAAACTCGTGACTTTTTTATTTCTTAGATATTTGTATATGTAGTTTACATTTATTGACAATTTCAAATAAAACGTTTGAATTTAAATAGCTTGTAAGGCAACAGAACTATTGTTAAACGGTCTACACTGATTGACGACAAATAAATAAATTGTTTGTCGATTTCTAAAAAAAATATGGTTTGAGTGCGAACAGGCGAAAAATACGAAAATAGTTTTTTAATATGTTTGTAAAATATGAAATACATACTATATAAAAACTAAGCAAGTAGCGAGTAAATTTAATCTTTATATTATACTATCAAAGTTACCCGCATTATCAAAGATACCCAGTTTTACGGTACTTCCCTAAAGTTAAAGGAACTGTTCTAAAGATCTCCTATCTTCAATAAAATTCTCTAGACTTCCTTAAATTTTTTCATAACGCAATTTTATTTTTTTTAACTAATTGAACTCTTGAAATTCTTCGATCTATAGGGTGTCCCAGAATGTCTAAGCCCGATTTAAATAAAAAATCTTAATTTCAACGTAGAAAATCCGAAATCCGATCAATTGTAAGCCAAGGAGCGGATTTTTGATCTTACGCTTCTGATAAGCTTCAGCACAGATGCCTTTCCAACCATTTTGGATACTTTTTCCCAGTAATTTCCAAGCGTTGTAACGGAAACCGCTGCATTTACATTTTTCCGCAAATATGCTTTGGTAAGGGCCCAGAAAGTTTCGATTGGCCTGCCCTGGGGACAGTTTGGCGGATTAATATCCTTGGGTACGAATTAAATTTTGTTGGCTTTATACCAGGCTACCGTATCCTTGGAGTAAGGAACCGACGCCAAATCCAGCCAAAATAGTACTAACCACCAGTGGAAACTAACGATTTTAAATTGGATCACTACTTGACTAGCTTACTGGTCCCAATGACGTTTGTATAGGGTCCGGATCAACAGGCAGCTTGCTGGTGTTAGAAGCAAAAATATTGTAAGCATTGCTGAGCACTCAAGTGACGACGTCACTCTACCATAACATTCCATACTGCGAACAGTGAGATTTACGTCACTGCCAACAGCTGTTTCGGGTAAAAAAACAAACATTGCAATAAAATAGGAACACCACTAAATACTTGCACATTTCACTAACCCCAATAAGCCTGTTGGCCCGGACCTTATATGAAGGACATTGTATTGGTCCCACGTAAATATATAAGTGTACCCCATTCTAGTCGCAATTTTAGTACTACACTATGTTTGTTTTGATTCGCTATGAAAGTTTGACAGATAAAATGAGTTTATATTTACGTTTCGAGGAGTGCATCGATTAGCTTGTGACCGTCTTAGCGTTACCTCTATCATAGAGGCTCTATGGTACTAAGGCATCATGCTTGCGGATCATGAGTAACAGGC